GTTAATGAAAACAGGCGTCAGGACCAAACCCTGGGACACTCCACTCTACTGGCTGTCAGCTAGACATTGAGTCATTGATTACTACCTGTTAGGGCTGTGCAAAGCTTTGGTCCCTGGCCCGATTTGGTGGCTGAATCTCCAAATCTGAATTGAATCAGGAGACCTTTTAATCTGTCTGAATTGAATTGGAACCCTCCAAATTGATTCGGAAAGATTCGACTATTCACACACAGACACAGCACGCTCGGCAGCAGACCCAGAAGTGGACCAGAAGTAGTCCCCCCCCAACCTTTGAAATGCTCCATCTGCCCAACCATCACAGTGTTCACAAGCCGTGCCTGGTACCTCAAGGTATGTAGAAAAAACATTTAAAGCTGTGTCTATGGCTGAATTGCTGATTCTCCAAATCGGCATCGAATCTTCAGATTCAGATTCAGCTGAACTGAATCAGGGACAGTGATCTGAATCAACAAATCAAATCACTGTCCCCAATTTGGACCAAATCCAAATCAAATACAGCCTGTTTTGCACAACCCTATTACCTGTTGACCCTGACTATCCAGCCAGCTCTCTATCCACCTTACAGTCCATTCATCCAACCTGTACATCTTCAGCTTGCTTGCAAGAATGCTGTGGGAGACTGTATTTTTGCTAAAATCAAGGTATATTATGCCCACTGTTTTCCCCACATGCACAGAGCCAGTTTAGAAGGCATCCACAGCCATGATGGAAGGCAATCAGCTTGGTCAGGCATAACTTGCCCTCAGTGAATCCATGCTGACTTCCTAATCACCTTCTCCTCCTCCAAATGCATAGAAATGGGTTCTTTGAGGACCTTCTCCACGATTTTTCTGGGGACTGAGGTGGGGCTGACTGATCTGTAGTTCCCTGGATCCTCCTCCTTCCCTTTCTTAAAGATGGGCACTATATTTGCCCTTTTCCAATCTGGGACCTACCCCAATCACCATGTATTTTCAAAGATAGTGGCAAGCAGCTCTGAAATCACATCAGCCAACTCCCTCAGCACCCTTGGTGGATGCATTGCATCTGGCTCCATGGACTTGTACATGTCCAGCTTTTCGAAATAGTCCCTGACTTGTTCTTTCACCACTGTTGGCTGCTCACCTCCTCCCCACACTGTGTTGCCCAGTGCAGTAGTCTGGGAGCTGACCTTGCTTGTGAAGACGGAGGCAAAAAAGGCATTGAGCACTTCAGCCTTTTCTGCATCCTCTATCAGAAGGTTTCCTCCCCTCATTCAGTAAGGGACCCACACTTCCCCTGATCCTCCTTCTTGCTACTGACATACTTGTAGAAACCACTCATTACCCTATACATCCCTGCTAGCTGCAACTCCAACTGCGCTTTGGCCTTCCTGACTTCATCCTTGCATGGCCAAACATTATTCTTATACTCTTCCCAAGAAGCTTCCACTTCTTGTAGGCTTCCTTTTTGTTTTTAAGCTCATTGAAGAGTTCTCTGCTAAGCCAAGCTGGTCACTTGCCATATTTGCTATTCCTTCCTGCACTTCGGGATGGTTTGTTCCTGAGCCCTCAGTAAGGTTTCTTTAAAATACAACCAGCTATCCTGGGCTCTTTGCCCCGTGATGCTGGCCTCCCAGGGGATCCTGCCCATCAGTTCCAAAGGGTGTCAACGTCTGCTTTTCTGAAGCCCAGGGTCCTTACTCTGCTGCTCCCCTTTCTCCTTTTATGATCCTGAACTCAATCATCTCATGGTCACTGCCCCCCAACTTGCCATCCACTTCTACATCCCCCACCAATGCTTCCCTGTTTGTGAGCAGTACGTCAAAAAGAGCATGTCCCCTAGTTGGTCTCTCCAACCCTTATACTAGGAAGCTATCTCCAAAGCTCTCCAAAAACTTCCTGAATTGCCTGTGTACTGCTATATTGCTTTCCCAGCAGATGTTAGGGTGATTGAAGTCTCCCATGAGAACCAGGGCCTGTGAACTGGAAAATTCTGCTAGCTGTCTGAAGAAAGTCTCATATACCACATGTTCCTGGTACACTGGACTATAGCAGATGCCCACCACAACATCACCCTTGTTACTCTCCCCTCTAACCTTAACCCAGAGACTTTTGACAGGCATATGTCCACTTTCACACTGGTGCTCTGAGCAGTTATATGGGTTTTTTACATACAGCACAACTCCTCCGCCTTTTCTCACCTACCTGTCCTTCCTGAACCGTTTGCACCCATCCACAACAGTGCTCCAGTCATGTGAGCTATTCCACCAAATCTCTGTTATTCCAACAACATAATATTTCCTTGACTGTGCAAGAATTTCCAATTCTTCTTGCTTGTTTGCCAGGCTCCATGCATTTGTGTACAGCCACCCAAGGTGAACAGCCAACTGCCCTACTTTCTCTGAAAGAATGAGGCCTCCCTTGTTGTCCCTCCTGCTTCTGCTTCCTTACTACCTCATTTATCTCAGGGCTTTGTTCTCCTTCCTCCAGCAGGCCTTGTTTAAAGTCTCCTTCACTAGGTTAGTAAGCCTGTCTGCAAAGATGCTCCTTCCTCTCTTTGTCATGTGGATCCCACCTCTTCCTAGTAATCCTTCATCTTGGAACAACATCCTATGGTCAAAGAAGCCATATCCCTGCTGGCAACACTACCTGTGCAGCTAATATCACAAATCTAGTGTCTATGTAATATCACAAGTCCAGGTAGCATTCTGGCATTGCTTCTTTGATGTCAATGCTTTCAATCTTTTAGATTGTAGAGATGGAGTTCTATTACTCTTTACATACTCACATGGCAGTTTGCCAGCTACCTAACTGGCATTTCTGCCACTTTGGGACAGTGCACCATTCTATTACTTGTGGAACATGGACAGCATCCACTGGACTACTGGGCACACACAGTAGGCTACACCCTACACCCTGGATACACCTATATACCAGGCAGGCATGTAGGTAGCTGAGCATACAGGGCGAGGGAAGTGGCCTTTTTGTGTTTTAGCCCCAACAGCTGAGTGGCTAGATCATGACTAGATCTGGAGCTGAGCTCAAGGGCAGAACCATGGACAGAGTCCGCTGAAATATAGGTGGACCCACATGGCGAACCTGAAAGGGTCAGCAGTGATCACAGGTGTTAATGCCAGAAGAACCACCCAGAGCCCTGAAGTCATGCAGGCCAGCCAAACAGGTGGTAGTACTTTAGAAAAAGAACAGGAAGGACTCAATTCATATGATCCCCACCTCCCCTATCTAGAGCAAAACTAGGGCACCTAAGCTAATACATGCTCTATCTGCAGAGGCACTTTTGTAAAGATGGCAGCAATGCCAAAGAGTTATCAGGGTGCTTTCTTGGAGCTTCTTCTGAAATAACAAAAAAGCTAATACAGCCAGTTGATGGAACCAAAGTATTTGCACTCAGGTTTAAAATGAGCTTAAGTATACTATCTTCTCAAGCCCACGAAGACTTGGACCCACAAAGAGAAACAGAGGAAAAATGTTCAAAGTGGGCCAGAGCTGCAAGCTCCAGTGTCTGCAAAATTACTTGCAGGCGTTGCAATTTTAGCAGACTCAGCTTTCTAAAAGTAAGTGTTAAGGGAAAGGACCACAACTTTTTGAAAGGTCAATGATTATAATGCAAGTCTCACTACTTATTAAAAAATACAAAGAAATAATAGACAAAACAAAACAAAATCTAAAACAAATCCACTTCTTTCCCAAATGACCCTAAAGTATCTAAATCCATACTAATACCAAAAGCCAGCAAGGACTAAACTGTGCCACGAGACAGAGATATAAGTGAAGCAAAGTCAAACTAAGCTGTGGACATTATATCATAGGAAGATAATTGGGGTGTTTATGTTTCAGCATTTTGAAGGAGAGAGGTTGAGGCCAGGGACTGCAGGCCCAGAAAAGATTAGATGAGAAAGCTTCAGAGTGGACGTTAAAAGAGAGAGTGTGCAGCAAGAGCGCGCAAGCAAGCGAGTGGAAGAGCTGAAACCAGGCATAAAGAACAATGCTTTGCTCAGGGACCTGAACCAAAGGACTGGGCTAGACTAAGGCAGCCCACTGAGGGTAGACTCCCCATACTGATATCATCAAAAAGCATGGCATGTGAAGACAGGGCAGCAGCCTGGGAGAACAGAGTGTTGGGGCATGATTGGTGTAGCTCAAGGGGTGCCATGGCCACTTTCACAGACACAGGTCCTGTCACAGACACATCCATAGATTAAGTGGCAAAAATACAGTTGGTAAAACAAACCTTCAATCTTAGACACAAGGGGGACCCACTTAACAGTGGAATACAAACAGGATTAAGCACTTGAAGATGGCCTTTGATAGTGATATATTCCTGCACTATACATCTCTGCCCTATGCATTCCTGCTTTTATCATGAAATATCTATCAATCATGCCCAAAAGTTGAGAGGTTGAAGGACGTATTCAGTCATCTCAATCGACTGAACATGAAGCCCGGATGCTGCAAATACTCCTATAATTGACTTGAGAAATTATAAATGCACACTCAGTGGCTAGAGCAATGGACTCTGATCCTGCCTGATTTTTGTTGAGGGCCTTTAGGAAGCACCTCAAAAATAAATAAATTTGATTAAATGTTTCAACCTTCCTCCATGGCAAGTGGTTTTGGATTCTACAATTGTTGACAGTATATTGCCATCCATTTTTTCTTATAATACAAGCAGTGATAAATAAAATCCAGTAAGTGTAAGGTAATAGCTAGAGACCTTTTGTGTGTAGTGACCAGTATACAGAAAGATATATCACTATAGCTAACACCTGACTTCTTTGAGGGCACTGTGAAAAATAAGGCTGAACTCAAGTGATTTCAACAGCAGAAATATTCAGGGGTCTATTAATGATAAGTAAGTGCAATGTTATAACTCATATAAAAGGGAGAAACATGTTCATAAATTTGCTGAATCTAGTAATCCTGGGTGTAGCTGAAAGCCAGATCCCTTTGTACGAGATTTTTTATTACCCAATGTATAAATTATGACAATCCACATACTTAAAATGTACCAAACTTCTTTATTATTTCAAACAAATTTCTGTACAAAAACACTGTATCAGTCCAACAAATGCAGTTACAGCTTCAAAGAACACATGATAACTTGCAGAATGCTTTCAGGTTCATACTTTTATTATACAGGTGGCAAAGAGCTCTCCTCTATGTTCATAAAAAAAGTTAAGTTTCCTTCCAAACATATTGGAAAGTATTAATTTTAAGAAATAAAAGTCTACTAAATCCATGGAATGCTCTGTAGTCTATTTAGATTTTCCTAAGCTTAAGTGGCAATGGTGAAACTAGTTTTTCAAGTACATTCAATAAATACCCCAAACATTAGAAATTTGTTATTTTTTAAACACATTGTGGGAGATCACTGCATCCAGGAAAAACAAAACTATTTCCCATATACCCAATTTCAGATTTGGTTCCTGATGACAGAGTACTCTGCAGCTGTAGTTATACTGTACAGTCAGAAGCATTGTTTATATATACACACTACATTAGCTACTACAGGCCCCAACCAGAATTGAGACCTCATACTGCTAAATATCGTGCAAACAAAGGAGGAGGCAATCCCCACCACAGAAAGCTTATAACCTAAACAGTGCTTAGAGACTGACTTTGATAAATAGCTTTGTAGCAGTGCACCATGTTACACATCCAAAATATTAAGGGCCAAGTTTTCAAAAGTACATGCAAGAAAACTCCAGTAAATGCACATCAGCTGATGTAGGAACATGTGTACATGTATACACAAATCCTTATCTGTGTACATAAATTTGAATTTGTGTGCACAAATGCAAGCTAAGTACACAAACAATTTAGAACATGCATTATTGAAAATGCAATTGCCACACGAAAATATTTACAGTGGCTGCAGATCACTCAGAAGACATGCCAAAAAGGCTGCTTTGCTGGTTTCAGCAAAAGATTTTAATTTTTTTTGATTGAAAAAAGAAAAGAAGTCAACTGGGAACTAAGTAAGTGAGAGAAAACTTCTTGCATGTCAGTCACAATTGAAGTACAATGGAAAGTAACCAGGCCTGATGGGCAAAATCTAATGAATGGTCTGTAGTCTATTTAGATTTTCCTACACCTAAGTAGCAATGGTGCAACGTTTGCTGTAAAAATTTTAATTCCTAGTTTTCACATGATGTCAGTTGATAAACAATACTATAAGAAACTTGATGGTATATTTAAAAGCAGCTCAAGTCCCAAAGGAAGTCAAGCTCTCCCATTCTGATGACACTAGGTCTACACTCAAAACATTTGCAAATGCAATAAGGTTAGTGAGGAGTATAATTCTATACAACATACTTATACCAGCAAAAAAAAAGGCCTTTTGCTAGTTTAAGCCTTGCCTCCATTAGGAGACTTTGCTGATTTAGCTAAGATTTGACAAATCTTTTCTAGTACAGACAAAATTAACACGTCCTCCTTATATTCTAAGATGTAAAACATTGGGGCTAGGAGAGGTTTTATTTTTGGTTCTCTTTGACTAGTACACTTGAACAAGTTGTCAAAATCCAGTTACGCTCCTGAACTGCATTTGATATGTACATAAATAGAGCCTGAAATAAGATATTTATCAATTGTGGAACAGGGGCTACCTAATAAACCAAGGAGGCAAAATGCCCTCTCCTGCAAGAGAAATTTGTTTGATTCAGTCAGCTAGCCAAGGACCATTACTAACTATATGACCATTCCCTTCTTCCTAATACAAAACAAGTTCTCTTCCATACAAGTGTGTAAATATTCAAATTACCGTAAGCCATAAGAGAGTAGTGAAAACTGTATTTAAAAATAATGGGCAACTGAACTTGTGCATGTTATTAAGTACAATATTTCAATTTTATTTTCATTTATATTAAATTTCACCTTCAAGGTTTCACTTTTAGGGTAACTGAAAGATTAGTCTATTTGACCTCCATTTTGTTGCTACTACTGTTTACTTTTGTGAAAGAGATGCATTTAAGGACTGAAATAAACATAGATTGTTATAGATGTCGATGAAGTTTCTTGGTAAAAAAAATATTTTTAATGTCAAGAGATAAGGCTAGCCTGTAAAGTATAGTTGTGCTATAATCAAGCAGTCTGGTTATGAATAAGGTTTCATATATTTCAGTGATCTGAAGAAAATTGTTATGTAAATACACACAAGTATTAACATCAATCTGTATTAAATTATGTAAACATACACATCTTCTGTGATCAATACACACATTCACCTGTCCCAGAGGGTACTACTGAAGCATGGCTCGAATTTGTTTTGAAGTTGATTCATCATTCAGGTGTCTTGTAGTGAACCTAGGAGTTATAACAGAACGGTGAACATGATGCACATAAAAATAGGAATTTCACAACCTCAGAACTTTTAGCTGCTCTGTAAATTGAAGTTTTATATTTATTCTTGAATTTACTAAATGTGCCTAAATTAAACATACTTCCCTCAGCTTCCAAGAAGAAGCAAATTGCCCCTCCTGAAAATGGAATTTAAAAGGCACAATATAACTACTACATGATTAATCTTACCTCTTTTACAGAGAACAGCCAGTGTTGCTATTACCAGTTAATTACTTCACCTCAACAAAGTATGCTTCAATCAAACAAAACACATCCTCCTGTTTGAGAGGTCTTCAAACATTTGTCTTCAGTTTCTACCTTCTATCTAAAGACAGGAACGTAATCCTGTACCCTCTTACTGCTGGGTATGTGCCCTTTGTATTCAAACGTATTGATCATTAAAACATTCCTGTCCAATAGGAAAATATTCCCAATTCATGGAAGAGGAGCAGGTGCTGGAATCCTAGTCCTGCTTAAGGTAATGGCAGTATTCTCACTGATTTCAGCTGAGCTGGTATTTCTTTTAGGAGGCTTGTCCTACAAGTCATACAAGTCTGTGGCAAAGCATGAAAATGAACTTAGGCCTCCCCCTCCCTTCAAAGCTGATCACTCTGGACCACAAACCCAAACTTTTCTCTACTTATATTATGATTTTACACATGCCAAGATGGGTAATAATTTATTTAATCTTTATTCTACAAATCAGGAACTGAGACGAACAGGGGATATCAAAAAAAGGACCCATACACTGGAAGTTAAATACATACGCAATTTAGATGCCCAAGTACAAGCAGGCGATCCATGTGACCCCACCTAACTACTTAGGCATCTAAGTTCATATTTATTAGCTAAAAATACAAAGCTGCATTGTGCATATTATAATTACTGAAGCCCTTGAACTTGATTTTGCAATTATGAAAATGGAAGCGACTCTGCGACGGAAAACACAATAGCCAAAGTTTTAAAGGAGTAGCATACTGACTGGGGACTACAAAACTTTAAAAGAAAAGATGTTTTAATATGAGAAAATATTGAAGACCCTAAATGGAAAATGACTTTATCCTCCTCCCTTAACAACAGTCTACCCTTGTACATACCTGAGGGCATTCAGAAGGCCTTCAACTGTGTCAGGAGGCTGTTCCTTTAAAACTTTTATGTATCCTTTCATCTGGGAGGAAAAGCACATGATTATATACTAACAATATACACTCTGCATTATCTAAAAACAGGGGGAAACTTTATCAAATCAAGTCCACTTCATTTCAAGTTCCTCAGTGTACTGTTAGTACTAATTACAATTCAGTATTCTGGCTCAAATTGAATGTTTTTGAGGCAAGGACATAGCTTAAGTAAATTAATTCTATTTTGGGCAGTTATTTGCAGATATGGCATTATAAACGAACCTCAAATAAGTTAAATTAGATTTCAATCGTCAAAAACAAGAAAGTTAAACAATATGGTGGAAACCAACTTTGACTTTAGGTAAATATAGCTATGTTGGCTTTTTTTGGTTTTTTTTTTTTTTTTTTTTTTTTAAA